TACCATATGAGATCGCTCATATGCGGAATCTAAAAAACAAAAACCACATAAATACAAAACAGAAACAGACTCATAGACATAGAATACAAACTTGTGGTTGCCAGGCGGACGGGGGGTGGGAAGAGACTGGGATTTCAAAATGTAGAACAGATAAACAAGATTATACTGTGTAGCACAGGGAAATATATACAGGATCCTGTGGTAGGCTCACAGTGAAAGAGAATGTGACAATGAATGAATGTATGTTCATGTATAACTGAAAAATTGTGCTCTACACTTGAATTTGACACACTGTAAAATGACTATAACTCAATAAAAAAAAGTTAAAAAAACTGAAAAATAAGTATGTGAACAAAAACGAGATATAAAAAAATAAACGCTACAATAGGACAATGAGATTGGGGTAATATTTTCCTCATGTTAACATTTTCTTTAGTATCTTTGGCAATGAACATTATTTTTTACAGCATTTTAAATTACTATGGCAAGCACTCACCTGATCACTAAGCAAAAGCTGATTTCTTCCTTGATACAAAGCATCACAGAGCATGTCTACATCATTATTTAGTCTGGACAGAAAGAAAGAATGTTCTTGAGCAGATACTGCCAACTGCTCTTGTACCAAAGAAACATCCTGTTTTAATTTCTCGGCCACTTCCTCCAGGCTTCCGTGGGTTATAAACAATTCTTTTTTCTTATTCTCGCCTTCTAAAAGTTGATGAAGCCTAAAACGTGAAAATAAAAATTATAGGAAAAAATTCTCAAGTCAGTACTTTTCAAAATTATAATCCACTACATTAAGGTATCTTTGAGGACACTACCAACTTAAAAATATTAATCAATCTGCTACTAAATCAAGCAACTAAAAATATTCCAACTAAAATACTATCTCTTACAGAAATATATATTCTAATTATTGTATCTGAATCCCCAGTTTTTCCTTCTCCCAAGTTTTAGACATAAAATCCTTTTTGACTTTAACTGCCATTAATCTACTTCAAAGTACATTTCAGAGATACCTCCTTCTTTCACAGAACAAAACTAAGATGTACTAGAAACAGCAATGAACTAGAAACAGAAGACCTGGGTCTGAGTTCTGGCTGTTATGTGAGACCTAAGTCAAGTCAACCTCTAAAACTTGATTTCACATCTTAATACCTACCTAATTTTAAAGGATTGTGATACTTAAAAGAAAAAAAAGAAAGTAATACAACAATGTAAAATGTTTTAAAAAGTAAACAATAAAGAACTATATAAACAGTAATAGTAAACTTGCTACTCCAGTTATGTTCATATTTGCTTGACAAGTTAAATTCTTGATGAGCCATGAGACCACTTTAACACTTCAAACATTAATGGCAGAAAAACCCTATGAGGTAAATGGAAAAATGTGAGGCAGCATCTTCTACACATAACTGACAAAAAGGGCCTGCTGTTTTTCTTAGAATTAAAAAAAACTATTATTTTAATTATTTTAACAAGTTGCAACAGTTGTCCTAAAACTGGTTCAAAGCCCAAGGCTGGCAATTTTATTCTTGTGGAATGTAACTACACAATTCCAGGGGGCACCATTCACACAGATAATGACATCAATGCCACCGTCTGAAACCATGCAACGAGGCAGCCCTACCCATGTCCTCTCATTTCATTAATAAGAAAACAAAATGATGAAGTGATTTTCCTCTAGTCTAGAAAAAAATCAGGAGTAGGATCCAGATTTTTGAGTCCTTTGACTACTTTAGCCTCCAATTTCAGAATCCTCATACTGAATTCCTTAGACATCTAGAAAAACATTGGGAGCTAACATTCTTTGCTGATACACCTGACTACACACAAAAATGAAGTCTTCTCCCCTCTCTACTGCTGCCTTCTCCAAATGCAGTCAGTTCTCTGCTCAGCATTATTTACTATACACCAAGCTGTATTCAAACTTCCTGTTGCAGTTAAACTTCTGTTCCAAATTTAAATAATAGTGCCTAAATATGAATAAAAGCCTTATAATTGTATATATTCAATCCTCCAACCCGTCCACCTCACCTCTAAAAAGCAGCTACTTCCAGATTTAACGTGAATGAAAGAGTGCAAAAGTTAAAAAGGAAATAGAAGCACATAACAGAAAGGTGGAAGAAGAGAATAGAAAGGCCAAAAGTGGAGTGCAAATAATTTTTTTTAACTTCCATAATTTTAGTTCAACCTCTCTTTAGTACTTTACAAAATCAAAGGAAAAATAATTACTCACTAAAGAAACAATGAAGCATACCTGTGAGTAGAATAATCCCTGGTATCAATGGTATTCCTTGGATTTATCTTGGGAGATACTGATGGGTCTGTTAGCATTTCTAATCGCTGGTGGAGCATCATATTACTGTGACTGAGTTCTTGAACCAAGTTTTCAAGTTGACGATATACGTCCCAGTGCTTTCTCAATTCAATTTCATACGATAATTGTAGAAGTTCAAATGATGCCTTTTGCTTTATCAACTGATTTAAAACTAACTCTTGTCTTGCTGTATAATAGTCTTGTTTAGCAATCTGCAGGTCAAAATCTCCCTTTACAACTGGCATATTCAGTAACTGGGCATTCTCTTTTACCACAGCAGGTAAACTTTTGTCTTTTATATGAGTGATCTGTTCTTCAAGTTTCAGAATCTCACTGTTCAAGCCAGAAATTTTAGCATCCAAATTATCTTTGCCAACAGCCTACACAAAGAAACAATTAAATTTCAAATTATAATTATAAAGTTGAAATAGTTTTAAAATTATTTTCACTTTCCATTTTAGGTTATCAGATAAGATACTAATAAAACTAATTCCATACTAGCAAAAGCCAAAATTACAGTTAAAAAAGGAAGTGTGGACTAACCCAAGGGTAAAGCCAGTATGAACTGCTAAATTTTAATGTATTACTACTAGGTAAAATACTATTACACAGTAATGGCTACCAAAATAAAGATCTTGTCATGTTTGTCTTACTCATTAAAAATCATCAGCACACTACTCACTGAATGCTAATGTACACTATTTAAATTTTTCTTAAAATTAAAATAACCTCAGTAGCTATTCTCCTAGCCCATTTGCTGATTTTAGCACTTTGACAGAATGACAGGCCTTCATACATCATTCCAAAGTTTGTGTCAGTTACAGGTTTCAGTTTCAGAAAGGTTGTATTACTCAACTTTCTAGTGGTTACATTACCAAGAAAGCAAGCTTTGCAAGAATGCAGATCGATATCTATAATACAACCAAATGTTCCCAAAAAGAGAATCAGGGTTCCAATCCACTGATCAGGATCTCTAATTTCATTAGCACTATCCTCTGGTCAGAGCAAACAAGGAAGAATACCCATAACACAACAGTAAGACTCTTTACCCATACATCATAAAAAAGGAGATTTCAGTGTCATCTGTATCTGAACCAACAAAAATTTCAAATTCAGAATGCAAAAGTACTTTTGTTTAAAATTAGCTAGATAATGTGGTTGGGACCATAATTACTATTTCTGCCCTCCACTAATACGAAGATCTACTTGTCTGAAACAATGATACGTATCACAACTAAAAACTGAACAAACAAAATAAGACAATGTAATTACTTATTATATCCCCCTTTCTAAAGTACTTTAATATCAATATTATATCCTCCACTACTATCAACAATTTCAATATGAATCCAGTTTCATTTCTCATGTTTACCTTGCTAGTGAGACTATGAAGATTCTCCTCTGCCCATTTTATACTTGACTTCATGCTCAAATTACTTGCTTTCAAGTGAATTAACTGATGCTGAGCACAAATGTATGCTAGCTGCAGCCTGGCCATCTCCAGTCGTCTCTCCTCAAGAACTTCTTGATTATCACAAATAGATGATGCTTGTATATCTAAAAGTTGAAAATTTTCTTCATTTGAACTTTCAACTACTTCATGTATACCCTGAAAGAACTGTTTTTTGGTATATAAGGTTAATGCTGCTGTGCTTTGCTCTTCTTGGCTTAGGTATTTTTCCAAGGAAAACTGAGATAAAAACACCAGTGGATTTGTCCCCTGACCCAAATGATAATGTCTGAAGAACATCATCAATTTTGCAACTTCATCAGTAAGTGTCTGAAGTTCATTACTGATCTTAGTATTGGTAGCATTTAGGATTCCTTGACTCTGCTTCAGTTTTTTAGTGGCTTCTTCTTCTTTAGCACTCAACCTCACAGACTTGTGGCTAGTTACTGAAGCCATCAACTGGCATTTATTACGTCGCTGAATTTTTAGGTTCTTCAATTTCTGCAGAGTTTGGACCTCATCCTCTAGTTTCTCTAGCTCTTTGTCATTAAGAGTAGGTGTCTTCAAATCAGAAGTTTTACAGGTTTTAAGAACTTCATCCAATGCTGCTCCTTCTAGGATGGGCTTGCCTGATTTTTGAAGAATGCTAAAAGCTTCCAATTCCTCTTCAGACAATACGTTCTGTTCATTCACATTCCCACAAAACCACTTCAAAAATGATTCATTGTCAACAGTCTCAAACAACCAGTCAAAATCTTCCCCATTAAGAATATCAGCTTTGGGATAAGCAATTTTTTTTAATGTTTCCACAAACTTCTTCCCACAACTCATGGTTTAACTACCCAATTTGTTTGTAACTGATAAGGCTTTATGCTGTCGATATTTAGAAAACAAATCCAAATAAAAACGAAACTAATTTTATGTTAAGTCCATAGAGAAAGGGGGAAAATATTTTTAGAATCTATGATTTCTCCTAAAGAGGAAAAAAAGACAAGTATTAGACCACAAGTAAGGCAACCATATCTTAAAAAAAAAACACAGATAAACGTCAAAAGATAAGTTGGGAACTATCTAACCCAGAGGTAGCTGTAGCTGTAGCTGTAAAGTTTCATGAAGATAAAGAGAAACGAACAACTAGGGTTTAACTAGAACACTGCAACAGTACCAAAATCCTAATTAACAAGAAAATCTTATTTCTTCCAAAAATAAAGTGTTTTAGAATACATTATATTTTATAGAGCATTTCAGCTTTCATTTCAAAGTAAATGGATATAAACAAATCCAAGTCACCATGTGCCTAGCGGCCTCTTTTACCTGTTCTTCCTGGAAAAACAGAAACAATGTTAAGTTTTTTGAGAAAGACAACTAAATATTTACCTCGATGACTCAATCAGCACCCGCATTCGCGCAAGGGCCAATATCCAGACGCGACTAACCGAGCGCAGAGGAATCAGCCTCAGGTTTAGAAACTACCCCCCCCCCCGGCCTTGAGACGTACCAGAGGCCTGAGCCGTCATCAAACGAAGTACCTCAGACATTTCGTTATTTTCAACAAACGGACCACTGAAGACTCCACGAGGCGAACTCCAGTGACGGGGACAAGAGGTACAGATGAGGGGCCCAGCAGCACGCCTGCGGCACGCTCTGTGTGACTTTGTGCAAGTCAGCGGTGACACGTTTGCATGTTAATAAAACGTGTCACGGTAACCGCCGAATCGGCGTCCAAGACAAACTGCACAAACCGGGG